GCTGCTTTTATTTTAATTAGCTTACTTAGCCAGGAAGGCTGAGGCAATGGGAAACAACTATGTGAAAAGGAACATTTGACTTGAGAAAAGATACAAAATCTGGAATGTGACTCTGTCATTCGTAATCTGGAATGTGACACTGTTATTCGTACAGCTGTTTTGACCTGAAGGAAAGTTTTGAAGGGCAGATGACAGAAGGTAACAGAGAAATCGGGATCTGCAATGAAGCTGTCTCTCCCACCACCCCATCCCCCCCAAGACAGGGGTTCTCTGTGTTGCCCTGGCTGTTCTGAAACTCACTCTGAGGCTGGCCTTGAATACACAGAGATCTGCCTTTGGGGGACTCTAGTGAGTGAGTATTACCTGGCTGCCACAGCATAATCAAGAAGGGAACTGAGCGCCCAAATATCAGACACTCTATCCACTTGTTTATGTGGGATGCCTTTTTTCTTTTATGTACATGGGTGCATTGTTTGCATGTATGTCTGTGCAGCATGTGCAAATATACCCGTGTTATGGAACAATCTTTTTGTACACTGTAAAGACATGTTACGCTCATTGGTTTAATAAAGAGCTAAATGGCCAATAGCTAGGCAGGCAGGAAGAGGGTCACTGAGACTTTTGGCCAGGGAGATAGCTCTCTGGGAGGAAAAAGGATATAGATTCACCAACCAGACACAGAAGAAGCAGGGCATATACAAGATGAGGTAACGAGTCATGAGTCCCGTGTGAGAACAGTCATTGGGAAGTTGGAGGGGCTTTTGGGAGAGGCTCAGACACCCCGGAGGATAGGAACACAGGCAAATGTTGGGCTCAGAGACTGACACCTAATTCTGGCATTTCACATCTTGGGACACTGTGCAAAGTGGCCCCTGCTCTCTATGACCATCCTTGCAGGACACCACCCATCTCTCTCTTCTCCTCTCTAACTAGACGAGTCATGAGCCACCTGGCAGCAAGTAAATTAAGTTACAAGAGCTAGATGGAAACAAGGCTAACAAATCTCTGTGAGTTCAAGACTAGCCTGGTCTACAGAGTGAGTTCCAGGCCAGGCTCCAAAAGCTACACAGAGAAATCCTGTCTCAAAAAGCCAACAAACAAACAAACAAACAAACAAACAAAACAAGCCTAAATATCTGCTGAGCATCTTTTAAAAAAATTATTTATTGTGTTCTGCCAGCATATATGCCTACATTCCAGAAGAGGGCACCAGATCTCATTATAGATGGTTGTGAGCCACCATGTGGTTTTTGGGAATTGAACTGAGGACCTCTGGAAGAGCAGCCAGTGCTCTTCACCTCTGAGCCATCTTTCCAGCCCCAAGGCTGAGCATTTATATTTAATAATAAGTCTCTGTGGTTATTTGGGAGCTGACTGATGGAACAGAATATTCTGCCTACACATAGCTAGTACTTAGGGAGGCCTGAAGAAGGCATTGGATCCCCATGAACTGGAGTTATACAAGGTTGTGAGCTGCCCGTCATGTGTGGAATTCATCTTGAGTCCTTGAAGCTCTTAACAGCTGAGCCATGTCTTCAGCCTGGATAGTTCCCCTTGACTGTCAACTTGGTAAGATAAGTAATCATTTGGAGATACACCCCTGGGCATGTCCGTGAGGGTGTTTCCAGAAACAATTACTGAGGAACAAAGACCCACCTTCCCACAGGTGGCCCAGATAAGAAAAAGGCTAACAGAAAAGGTTACATCATCTGCTTGCTTCTACTTCTTCATTAACATATCTAACATTGCTGCTGTTGCCTGCTCAGCCATCCTGCACTACTATCAGAATCCAGCTTCTTAGACTCTGGGACTTCCAGGTCCTCAACACTGAGGTGGAACCACTAATGCAGCTGGTTGTGTAGGCTGAGCAATCACTGGCTTCTTGGCCTCTCCAGAGTGTATGCAGCCATGATTGAACTACCTAGCCCCTACCAGGTAGACCAGTTCCTAGTTCTCGCCATGTAAGGCAGCCATTTCTCAGAGTCCCAAGACCATGCCCATATGCACTCTGGGAACTGACCATGCCTAGTGGGAGGCTAGTTCTTTATACCATTAGATGGAAGCTGAGGGCTTTAGTTACCCTGAGGAGTGGTGCTTGGAAGATGGCCACTGTACAGCTTAGGGTGGGGGCTGGGAGAGGGTTGCCCACGTAGAAAGAGTAAAGAGCAGTGCTGTGTGGTCAGAGGTTCTTTCTCAGAACGGGCTTATTGATAGGCCTTAGTGTTGTTTAGTTTTAATTTTTATGTATGGGTGTTTGCCTGCATCTATCTCTGTGTACCACGTTCATACCTGGTGACAGCAGAGGCCAGAAGAGGATGGTGGTGAGCAGCTGTATGGGGCCCTGTGCAAAGCAATAAACACTCTTGACTTGCTGAGCCGACTCTCCAGCCCCACTTAGTGCTTTATAAGCTGTTCACTGGTTGAGACTTGGGTTCAAATCCTGCCTCAGTGACAGTTGGAAGTTGTCTTGGTTAAAATAGCCTACACTCAAAGATTGTCTCAGGAGGACCAGTGATGATGGGGAGCCTCTGAGGACAAGAGAAAGCACCCCTAAAAGTTGTGAAAAGACCTCAGCATCTATCACACTGGCTTTGGAACACTTGGGTTAAAAATGTCCTGTCTACCACTTTTCAGTGGTGCGCTGCAGGTCCGTAAGTAAATTCATCCATCTGAACCTTGATTTTCTGTCAAGTGACATCAATTATAACTTCATTTAGTTTCAAGATTGTAAACAACATCTCATCTATGCTCCCCAATCATGCTCTCTGCAGTATTTCCTAAGGCTACTTGGCCTGTTAGCTGATGCTCTGTAGCTGTATCCGGTCCACAGGTTTTCCTACTAGTAGCTCCAATGGCAATCTCACCTAGAGTCCTTTGCTGTGTGGCTGGTGGCTGTTCTGTGCAGAGTCCCAAGTCACCTCCTGAGTCTGCAGGTCCGGCAGAGAAGATGGGGAGGGCTAGGCTGGGAGGGGAGAGGAGTGAGGATCCAAGGCTTGCAGCAGTTACTGTTAGCACACGTGTGGGCATAGGAAGTAGAGCCCAGGGAGTTTTTCAGTCATCTCCTGCTTAATGCATCCAGATGCATCCATAATTAGCCCTTGCCTCTGGCCTCCGGGCCCAGGTGGGCTCCAGAAGGCCGCACTGCCGCCAGACAAGAGGCCTTAAAGAACACCGGGCAGACAATTGGAATGCCATTTATCGTGCGAAACACAATAAAACCCTGAGCTCTCTTCCTGTCTCAGAGACCCATAAATTATGAAAATTATACCTGCCTGGGGCCTTGGACATATTGTTTTATTAAAGTTCCGATGAATAAACTTCTAGTCTCTTAAAAATGTCCTCCTGGCTCTTATCTGGCAGTACCTCCAGTGTGGGGCAGGGCTGCCTGGATCTTTCTGGGGGTTAAGGTTTTGGAAAGCTAGATTCACTTCAAGCTATTAGTTAGCCAGGCTGGGTAGATGGCTGGAGAGTGTACTGGGGGCTCTGGTCCAGGGAACAGGCTGCAGGAGATCAGAGATGCCCTCATCAAGCCCTTTGGGAGGGGTCAGTGCTGGAGACTGATCATAGGATCTTACACATGCTAGGCAGAGTGCTACAGCCTGAGGCCCAACCCATTCCTTCTTCGAAGAAGAGTACTATGTGGTTGTGGACAGGAAACCGGTTGATTCAACTTTTGTATTTGGTCATTGGACACTTTCCAGGTCCTCCGTGTAGGACTTCCCCAAGTACAGCTGTAGAACCCTGTTTACATTCTGTATGAACAGTAATTCCCCCTAACATCCCTTTCTGCATCTCGAAGCAAACAGCGTCAGCCAAAAAGTAACTCAGCAAGTGCTGACCTTTGGGGTCACCCCTAAGCCATTTGTAACTGGGAACCAAGGAGGGGCAAGGCCAGATGGAGAAAGACAAGTATAGCAGTTGCGTTATTCTCTTCTGGATTCTCTTGGCTTCTCCTTTCCCTAAAGGCCATTTGGGTGAGTAGGCCTTTAAGAATGCAACCTCAACCAGAGTTTGTTATTAATCTCTAAAACCCCAGACTCCAAACATAAACCCACAACTGACCAACTACAGTGAGCTTGATGAGTCAAATACCTGGGACACTACTTGGGACCAAAGCATTACTTCTGTAAAAGTGAGACAAGTTGCAGTCAGGACAAAGGAGGGCTTGAAACTATCTGTATTCAAGTTCAGTTGTAGACAGGACCACACTGAAGAATGTCCTTTGTGTCCTTTAGGCAATGACCAGGACATCCATGATGTGTTCCAAAAGCCTTAGAGATACAGGATTGAATCTTACTAATAAGTCTTAAGATGCTGTCACTGTAACCAAGACAAAGAGCACCAAGGCCAGGCATAGGGATAGTTACACACACCTTTGATCCTAGTACTCAGGAGGCAGACAGGCATGATCTGAGTTTGGGAAGGCACTGGAGTATTCAGTGGACAGGAGGCCTTAGGGGTCAAAAGACTTTGAAGTCTCATTAGTTGAGCAAAACCAAGAAATCTTCTAAGAGCTCTTCTTACTGCTTGGCTTCTTGAAGAATTTATAGACTTTGGGGGCACCAGGACCAAAAGTTTGGTCCTTCTTTCCCCCCCACCTCTAGCTCTTCAAAGTTCTAAAGCTTTCTTTACCCACCTTTATTACTAAGAGACCCAATGGTTGGGCATGATGACACACTTTTAATGCTAGCCTGGGCTAATGTTATTTTGATACAGCAAGGCTATCTAAATACATTAGAAAACCCAAATCCCAGCCACCCTGTGAGAACAGGTGGCCCAGGAAGAACTTTGAATCACATGACAGCAGCAGTCAGCTTTACTATGAAGTGCAACATTCTTCACAGATTTTAGAGGTAGGACAAGTGTCTCCCCAGTCTACACATCCAGCCCATTGTGTGTACTGTGCTCATGTGGCTTAGAGTTCTGACAAACATGGAACTTCTGCTGCGTGAGGATGTCAGGTAACGGAACACAACACACGAGAGAATGACAGTCACGTGTATATTTAACAATATATATTTATAGATATCTTCTAGATCAGTACATTCAGTTTTTAACTTGTTTTTTTCTTCACAAACAGAAGAACTCTTACAATAGTAGACTTTCTAAAATAAATACTATTAAAATAGAGCTTCAAAATAAATATTTTTTACAAAGGAAACCTTCTGTGGTAACTTTTGTGGTGGGGTGAAAAGGGACTACAGTGAGGGGTTAATGAAACGGATGTGGAGTGGGCAACTGGGTGCAACTCTACTGCTGCTAACATGAAACCAACCGTGGGACAGCGAGAGAAAGCAAGGTAAGAAACAGCACAGTCACCCACAGCAAAAGTGGAAACACAGGATTGATATCCACCGTTACAGAGCAGAGAGGGCATTGAACTTTACTCATCAAACCCATAAACCAGGAGGCTGGTGATGCCTCGATGTTCTTGTAAATTGTACAGTGCAAATTTGTGCTGCCCACACACCTCAGACATTTATTTCTTGGAGTAACACTAGAGACCATGCTGCTTCAAAGTCTGGGTTCTGGCCCAGACTGACTTGGTATGTATTGCCCCTTTAGGGTTGTGATGCAGCTGGGCCCCACCAATGCAGACTGCCCAAGTTCAAAGGCATCCATCACAAGGATGCCTCCCATCAGCTGGGAGTACCCAAAATAAAGTGAGGTCTGTTCTTTGTTCCCTTCCAGTTGGCTTCAGGAGCCTTGACTATACCTTGGAAGGATTTTGCTAGTCTAGACCGAAACCCCATATACTCACAGGAGTGCTGGCATTTCCCCACAATTTGGAAACCAAGGTACTTTTTATGAAATGTCTTGGATGGATACTATCCTCAGCTCAAGGCACAACTGCCACCAACCCCAGGTCTACAAGTGGGAACCAGTTGGAGATTTTAGAGAGCTACAACCTAGACAAGCAAGCTGCTGATATCAAGCCACCAATCTGAGGCAGCTTCAGAAATTGTTCGAGAGAGGCCCTGTAGACTCAGTGCCTATTGACTGGCCTACAAAGGGGGTGGGGGCCCTAGAGGCAAGCCACCACTTTTATGTGTTCTTTCTGCCTGCAGGTGTTTGCCAGAGAAAAACAATAGAGCTGAGGAAATAAAGGATGCTTCCTTCACTCCTTCCCTTTACCACCAAGTAAGTAAGCCCCAAGGCAAACTCCTGGGGGAGAGGAGGAGGGGGAGTTCTGTGGACATCACCCACAAGCCAAAATGAGTTGGGGACAAAGAAAAAGCAAACCAAAACCCACAAAAATCCGTGTTTACAGCTATGTACACAAAGTCAGGGTTCAGGAGGGGTTGCCAGGAAACAGGGTCTGTGTGGTAGAGGGTCAGTGTGTATGTGTTACACGTGCATGTGCGCACACACAGATTATGTAACTCAATTGTCCACAGAGGTGTACAGACCAAGATCACCAAAGTGCAACCTGCCACTGGGTCAACTGTTCTGTGGAGACCAACTGAGGGAGGGACCCTGGGCAAAGCTCAGCTCCCAGGCCTTTTAGAAAGGGTGTGCTCGTGTGCGCTATCACTTTTGGGGGCTTCCAGCCACATGTCTCATTTGAGGAAAACATCTGCAGCCCCTTCTGTAAGTTTCTAATACATTCAGTTAGTGTTAAGTGGTTGGCTGAAAGTGTTTTTGTCTTGTATCTTTCCTTCCGATATGTGCAAGGACATTGCAAGAGACCGTGGCAAGGGCAGCTGTATGGATTAGCCATAGAGAATGAAGATGCAGTATTTTACACTTGCCTTTTACAAGCCTGTAAATGCTACATAAATAAAGCTGAAAAGAAAACCCTCCCTTCCTCCAGTCAATAAATACCTATGGTTACAATTAACTTATTCTAAATCATAAGGTGTTACGACTAGTTTCCAAGTAGGGGTGGGGGTGAATCCTTGAGACAGAGCATTAGGTACAAGCCACTCATAGCTACCTGCCTACTTGTCTCCTTCCTGGGGGCAGTTCTGCTCCCACACAGAGAGCCAGAAATACCACACATGATTTCTGCCTAACACTTCCCCAATTTCACCTGGGGCACCTCTTCTGACCCAGGCCATTTCTCGTATCACCAAGAGGCAGGGATGGGAACAAAATACCACACAAAACAAAAACCCCACAACAGCTGGGGGTAAGGACCAGAGACACTATACCTTTTTGCATGCAACAAGTACCTACCCACTGGACGTGCTGCACTTTCTGAGACCTTTAGCACCGTGAAAGAGTTGCTACGTCTTTGGGGGCTGTCGGGAGGGGCAGGGGTTGTGCTGCGCACAAAAATTGGGCTCAAATCCAGTAGCCCCTGGAGAATTGTTCCCTACCCTCTCTGGGTTCCCTCTGACTTCCCCACCAGGGCCTCCTAACACTAAAATAGACTCTGTTCATTCTCTCTCTATTTACATAAAGACAGACACATCACTATACACAAAAGGCTATGACAGCAAGCAGCAGAATCAGAAGAAAACCCAACCCCAGCTCGGCTCAACTGTCATTCTGCCAATGGGAGGTGTGGCCTCTTCTTCGCTATTCTTGATGGGCAGGGGAATTATGCTCCTTGGGGTTGCTTGCCCCCAGATTGTGAAATCAGCCCTTCCTGGGGGTGGCCCAAAAGGAAGCAAGTTGTTGTATTATTATTGTTTAAACACCATTAGCATCTATTTAATTAAACATATAAAAACATCACGACTGGATCCGGAGACCACAGCCTCAGACTCATTGGCAAAATGATATTTGGTCTCACTTGTGTCACCCTGGCCCTCTTAACCCAGCAAGTTTCTGCAGAGAATCTAAGTAGAGAGCAGAGAGCTCAGGACGCACAGCAGGCAGGCCAGTCTGTGACTCGGGCAAGAACCGGAGGGTGGTATGATGAGTGGACACCCCCAAGCGAGCGATTGAAGCTAGAAGGAACACACACACTGCCCAGCGGCTCTGTCATCCTGTGGGCCCAGGAAGGCTCCGGCTCACCACTGATTTTGTTCTCAGCTAGCAAGTACATACAGCAGGAATTGCTATGGTGCACCTTCCCAAGAGGCCAAGGCCAACAGGCATGGGCAGAGGAACAAAAGGTAGAAGTCAAGGCTGTGAGGGTCTTCCTTGAGGTATCCCACTTTCCGTCAGCTGTTCCTCCCCGGCAGGGGGCTCCAGCGGGAGCCAGAGGCAAAGTGGGAGGGTGAGGTTCAGAGGAGGGGCTGGGAAGGCCACTGAGCAGCCGAACTTCTGGATTGTGTCCACATCGGTGTTCCTTCTTCTGAAATAGGAAAATCGCATCCAAAGCCGCCACACCCCGTTGCTGTCACTGCTGCTTGACATAAAGTTTCAAGAACATGAAAACCCCAAAGTGCATCTTCATCCTTTTGGGGGCTCTAGGCTGGGTGGTAGTGGTCTCTGCCTCTTTCTTCTCAATCTGGGGTTTAAGAGAGGACAGATGAGCCCGGTCAGTCTCAAGAAGACTGGCAGGAGGGACCCCAGTTTCCAAGGGCAGTGTTGAGTTTCCATCCAAAGCGTCAGAAAGGCTTGTCAGGCCTGCTGGCCTTGGTGTCGCCACTGGCTGCCTTGCAGATGACACTGTTCGTGTGCTTGCAGCGGCAACCTGGGCGCCTCAGGCGGTCATAGCCGCGCTGAGCCAGCTTGACACAGCCTGTGGCTGGCAGGTAGCACAGCAGACATGGCAGCACCACAGAGAGGGCGCCCATGAAGGACCAGCGGGCGCAGCAGTTGGAGCGGGAGCAGGAGCAGGGATGGTCAGCGCAGGAGCCCTCATCATCCTCATTGGTGCAGTGGTAGAAGATGCCTTGCACCAGGCACATGCATGTGCCATAGTTGACCAGGGTCTGGGCTGAGCACAAACACTCCTGGTTGCAGACCCAGCAAGAGGGCAACGTCCTAGGGGACGCACATTCCTTGCATTTACACTTCCCACAGGCCTCACACAGCAAGAAGTGCTTGTCTAGCTCTGGTGGAGCTGCTGGGCCCTTGAGGTCCAGCGGCTTACAGTGGACCACCTTGGGCTGGAGGCGCACAGCCCTAGGGGAAGCCTGCTCAGCGACTGGCGGTGGAGCCATATGGTCGAGGAGCCTCTGGTCTGAAGAGGTGCTGCTGCTGCTGCTTACAGAGCTGGGGCGACCGCTGAAGGAGATCCAGTGGTGAGTGACATCCTGGTCACAGCGGGCAGGTGTAGGGGCCAGCTCTGGGACCCCACCCCGGGTCCGCTTGGGACCCACAGTGGGGGCCAGGCTAGGGTTGTCTATGTAGTCATTCTCCACGTGGCTGGTCTTCATCTGGTCAATAGGTAAGATGGTAAGTGGGTGCTGGAGCCGGCTGTGGGGTACTCGGCTGTCAAGGAGGGGCTGAACCATGACAGTGCCGGGAGTCAAAGGGACAGAGCTCTGTGGGATTGGTGGCTCCATGAGGCTAGTGGTCCTAGACTGCACTGGTAAGACAGGCTTCTAGGGGCCCTGGGAGAGAGGAAGAAATAAAGAAAATGAATTTCCAGCATCAATATATGGTCTGTGAATACCCTCCCCTCAGTCTTCTAACAGGCCTGGGCAGCCTAGTAAAATGAGAACCAAATTCCTTCAGAGAACTTCCTAGCAATTCCCAAGGCTTAAATGATCAATAACGAGAGTAATAATGGTAGAAGTAACAGCTATTGAATCAAGGTACAACATGGTGGTAGACTGCTTTTCTAGCATGCATCACAGGTTTTTGTTTTAGTCATCAGCACCACTGCATATGCATGGTAGCATATGCCTATAATCCCAGAATTTGGAAGGTGGAAACAGGGTGTAAATAAGACTAACCTAAGAGTGAGAGCCCGTCTCAAAAAACAAAAACAGAAGAACACCTTAGGCCTAACAGTGTTGCTGTGAACACGTTACAGCTTTAAAACTTTTTTTTAATGTATGTGTAGGCAGGGGACAAAATTTTCCCCAGGAAACAATCACTTCTCTCTCCTTCCACCTTAATGTGTGATAATGATTGAGCATAGGTCCCCAGGCTTGTGAAAGCACCTGTACCAACTGAGCCATCTCACTGCTGGGGGAGGGGGGTTGTCAGAAGGTGGAGGGTCTCACTGTGTAGACCTGGGATAGCTTTGAACTCAGAGATCCACCTGCCTCTGCAGCTGTACACTGGGACCTGAATTCTTTTGGCTTACACTGTAGTTTTTATGGCTGTAAAGGAGTTCTTACAAGGATTAAAGGAGAAAAATGCACACCTGGTACCCACACAATCAGTACACAGAAAGCATTAAGCAATTCATCATTACCTCAAAATACAACCATTGACTCCTACATAAGCATTTCCCGGTCCTGCAGGAACCAACTGTACAAGGCACTGAGGACCATGGATGTGTCAATACAACAGCTCCTGTGTGCTCTGCTCCCTTGGGCCCATCAGCTGGATTAACAAAAGCCTTCATTTTGGATACCAAGAAGAGAAGGAAGGGCTGCATCTGATGCCCACTCATCCAGGACATTAACCTATTTATTAGTCCTGCTTCCAAGAGCAGCAACCTCCAGCAGCCAACAAGCCCGGAGTAGGTGAGCTCCAACTTGCATGGGAAATCCTCTCAAGGGGCACTCACATCACCCATTTCCAAGTGCTGAGCTGAACATTCAGACTAAATGCTATTTACTAGAATAGCTAAGGCAACCCTGGATCAGTTTCTAATTTCACTGAGAGAGTGCAATTTTAAGTTGGCATCCGGCCAGAGATTCAACTGCAGCGCCTGACACGGAAACCCAGGAAGTCACTTAAATCAAAGAGCGGAAACAGCTTGGTTCAAATTTAGAAAGTGCACATTGTTTTCTATTAGAAGTGCCATTTCCTTGCCTGCTGACCTTTACATTTGGAATTCGGATGGAGATCAATTTAAAGAAATAGCAGCAGAAGGCCAAGACCTCTGCTCAAAGGAGACACAATTTGGAATCCAAAGGAAAGATTACACTCTGGGAAGATTCCACAAAGAACTTCAAGGGACTAGGGGCGGGCAGGATGGGGCGAGGGAAGAGGGCCTTCATAAAGACAAGACACTGAGCTTGTGTGTGTCAAGGGTGGTGTTTCTGGTAAATGCCTTTTCAAGATACTAATGACAGCTCCTGTCTCTCAAATAAGTTTATCTTGCATCAAAGGTGTTGCCAAGGGGATGTGAAGTAGGTTTTTAGTTCCGTTTACCCCCCTTGCTGAGACTGTTAGTCCATGTCAGTATCACAGAAGAATGACAACTGGCTCCCTGGAAGTAAGACTATGGTACAGTGTTTGTGGTGGAGGAGGGGAGGCTGATGGGAACTCACAATTATACTTGCCCCTGCTTGGAGGTAAGGGTTTGGTTATAAATAGCTGAAGCGTTTTCTTGGATGCTTCTAGTCTGAATGAAATAAACAGAAATAAATAGAAAGTTCACCAAAGGGATAGAAAGGTATCTACTGCATTAGCCTGCACAACCTCTATGCTGCTAAATGCAAAAAAAGAAATCTTTCCTATAAGGGTCAACATTCAGTCACCAGACAGTTCCCATTCACAGGGCACTATTGACCCCACTGGTACTTTTTTTCGAGACAGGGTTTCTCTGTGTAACAGTCATGGCTGTCCTGGAACTCCCTCTATAGACCAGACTGCCCTAGAACTCACTGAGATCTGCCTGCCTCTGCCTCCCAAGTGCTGGGACTAAAGGTATGAGCCACCATCACCTGGCCCAGGTGTGTCTTTATATACTATTTCCCTGTCTGTCTTGAATAAAGGCTACATAGGGGCGGGGGTCAGAGTTCTCGCTGGTGAAATCAGAACTTTTTTTTTTTTTTGAGACAAGATCTCACATTTTAGATAGGTCTGAAACTTAGTATGATATAGCCCAGGATGGGCTATGGAAGTCCTCATTCCTTAGTTTCCCAATTGCTACCATTAAACAAATGACTATCAGGCCGCTAGGTTTTCCCTCATCAAGGCAGTGTCATGTGAAGTGCCATGGTCAGGGCTGGGCAGAAGCATCGTGGAATGCAGCTCTGCAAGAATGCTACCTTTCAGCTAACACACTTGTTCCAAGGAGGTTCCCAAGGCCTGGCCTCTAGAAAGTGCTAAGTTTGGGGGCATCAAATGGTCAGTTAAGTTAGAAACCCCAGATTCTAGTTCTGGGGTCTTTGGTAAAAACAGTGTCACAGATGAAAGACTCTCGTGCTAGGCAAGGAGCGTCTCAACCAGAACCTTCCTCCTTAGACAATGATAAAAAAAAGCCTAGATTGGGAGTTTCTGCCAACAAAATGCCCCTGGAAGCCTCAAGTAGCTATATATTGGCCCTTACAGCTAGTGTTGTATCTCAAGATCAAGTCTAGGGCTGAACAAGCTAATCTGCAGAAGGGAAAGGTAAACTGATTGCCCACTCTGCTTTGCCAAGCAGGTTACCCAGACTCTTAAAAAAAAAAAAAAGCTTCATTTCTTGCAGATTAAGCAAAATGCACTAGGCAACTTTCAAGGATGTTTAACAGGCCCTGGAATCCGTAAGCAGCCTCTTCAATCATGCAAAAGCCCCGTCAGCAAGCCAGTTTGCAGCAGTGAAGCTACTGCCATCCACAGGCTCCCATCACCCTCCAGATGGCAGCTGTCAACATCTGGGCTGGCAGATGAGGCCAGCCTAGAGAGTATGGGATCTTGGCCCCCAATGACTCAGCTCTCAGGCCATGAACATCTGACATTTGGTTCTAGAAGACATGTTTCAAAGGCATCTCCCCACCATCTCAGCAAAACCCAATGGCTGGCTCAGAGAGCCACTGTTCACACTTGCTTAGGCCTGCCTGAGCCTCGTGCGCCTCTGCTGAATTGATGTGGCTGAGAAAGAAAACCAGCTTCCTAAAATGCCTGTTTGATAACCCCTCAGTACAGCTCCAGGTTTACTCCCTGCCCAGCAAAAACCCAAGTCTGAGTTCTGTTTCCAAGATCAGTCTCCACCCTAGGACATTCCCACCCCCCAGTTTGTGCATCCTTGCAGGTGTTAAGTGCACTTTAATAGGCACCTCTGCTTCTCTTCCAAGGAAGGAAGAGATTTATATAATATAAATGGGATAGGAGGCTTTGCCTTAGTAAGCTGTTGGGAAAAGCTTGATGGTCAATTTGGAAGAATCCGGATGGAAATGAAGCCAAGCGGCACTTAGCCTAGGAAGCACTCCCCAGCTAAATGATTAGCATAAGAAAGAACTTTCACCTCCCCTCCAATAATAACAACAGTGGTAACAAGAATACCTATAGTTAATTACTAGAAGTGACTAATATTTATGGGACACTTGGTGCCAGGACCTCTGCTGCACTCAGTGATTTATTTCCTCGTTTAATCCTCATCATCACCTTAGGGAATAGTTCCCATTCTGGAGTTAGAGATGAAAGCACAGGGCTGGGGAGATGTCTGGTCAGCACAGTGCTTGCCACCCAAGCAGGAAGCCCTAAGTTCTGATCCCCAAAGCCACATTTGTCACATCTGTAACCCCAGTGTAGTGAAGTGGGAACAGGAGGATGCTCACAGCTGACAGGCCAGTCACACCATTAGGTTATCACTGAGTCCAGGGAAAGACCCCATGCCCATCTCCACCCAATAATAAGGCAGAGGGAATGGAGAAACAGTCCCTAATTAAGAGCACTTGCTGTTCTTAGCAAGTCCTGTGTTTAGTATCCAACACTTACATGGTGGCTCACAAATCATGTACATCTCCAATTCTGGGAAACTTCATTGAATTTTGGAGACCTCTTCTGGTCTCCAAAAACACCAGGTATGAATATGGGATACATACATACAGATGTGCATACGCACAGTTTTACTTACACACACACACACACACACACACACACGGGGGAGGGGGGGGATGGCGGCGGTGGGTGGCACTTTAAAGCACAAAGATCATGGGCAGAGCAGTCTCTAGTCATGTGACCCTATGGCTGAAGCAGACACGGAGCTCTAGCTGACAATGACTTGTGGAACCCTTCCCTACTCTAGGGGGATCCATGGAAAAGTGTAGTAGCCACGGGTCCTTAAATAGCCCAACCCCCGCCCATTAGTGGGGGTGGGGAGAGGTTCAGAAACTAACCCAATCAACTGATAAATGACCCCAAACAGGTTTTTTTGAGCTATCCTTTCTGTCCCTTCGCCCCTCTTTTACTATGTGTTTTCATCTTTTACCCCAGTGGGTCTCCCTTACAGAATTCCACTATAACAGTCCCCAAGGGAAAAGGCAAGCCTGGTGTGAAAGGGATTTTCCTTCCTCCTCACCTATCAGGTTCAACTCTGGGGTTCCTGTGGCATCTCTGATGATAGTTTCCAGTGCAGGTGCGGAGGGGAGGGAGACGAGGGAGAGAGCCAGGCACTAGGAGATGCTGATGACTCAGCCAGTTACCTACCCACCCCACCCCTTTCCCATCAGTCCCTTGATCTGCTGCCGCTGAGTGTGGCAGCTCAGAGCTGCCTGTCCTGACCCTCACTGCCACTGTACCTTGTAGGGTGGGAATTGGGCACAGGCTGCATGAAAAGAAGGTAAGATTTAATGTCCACACCATCTGGCCACCCTTCCCTTGATTTACCCTAGGAAGGGGAGCTGGGAAAAGCTGCTGGTTGCACTTTAAGATTTACAAGTCAGCGAATGATGAACTGACAAGAAGCTCTGTAATGAATGGGCAGTTTCTGTGCTGCCATTTCAGTCTCAGCAGGTTCTTCTCTACAGAAGGTTTTGTTTAGCCCTTTAAACAACTCAGAATAAAGGTCTTTAGGCTGCCCGAGAACCTAGCCACCCCTCTGCAACATTATTGCCTGGTCCTCTGTGACACTAACCCAGTTTAGTTAATTAAGCTATAGCCAGGTGATGACTTACTGCTTTTAATAAGACCCTTAAGGAAAGGGGGTAGGGAAAGCTAAGGACACTATCCTGCACCCCTTATGGGGAAAGCCAATTTGTGAAGACCCAGTGAAGGAAGAAGAATGCCTCTGGGCAGCTGAATTTGAGGATACACCCTTACCAGCTCTGTCTGCCCAGTACCCCGTTAAGAGCAATCGGAAGTCATGCCACGAACAAAGGGCAATAGATGGGAGCCTGCTAAGCTGTTCATGAACTGGCCAATGCCGAAGTATGGAATGTGACCAGAGACCTGCAGACCCCCATCCCCTTGAAAGGCTTCTTTTTAGATGTCATCAAGATGGTCTTATTGTCTCCCTAACCTCCACCAAGAGACAGAACTGACAATAGATTTTTAGCTTACTCTTGGGATGGAGCAGGAAATGACTTCCCCCTTTCCCAGCCAGAAACAGACTGACAAGGAAAAACTGCTCTTCTGCAACTGGCCACCTGCCCCAGGGCCCCTCCCCTCCTCCACTAGACCTAGAACATCTGTGTCCCTACAGTGCCTTGCTTCCTCTCTTCCTCCACCGACTGGAGGCTCTTCCTTGGGAAGAACAACCCCCATCACAGCTGAACGGAGGGGCCTCTTAAGCTTGGCCACATGTCATGGACATGACATTCTCTAACCTAGTCAGCTGTCTAGATCTGCAGGGTAGCCTCCTTCTTTTAAACACACAGTACCCTGTACTTCCTGTGCCTTTTATTCAAAAGGTCCTTAAAACTAGAGCTTCCTCCTGAGAGTACAAGGTTAACAATGAACTTGCCTCAGCCCTAGCCACGCACTAGCAGCCCTACTGACTGCACCTAATCCCTCGGTCTCCTGGAGAATCTGTTCACCATGTGCCTAGTCTGAAAGGACTAGTAACAGTTTCCCCAGTGTTAGTCATTATCTCCTTACAAAAATCCATGGCCACTATGTTCTCTGTCCTTGCCATCCCTCTTATTTAAACTTTTTTGTTGTAAACCGGACACGATGAAGCCTGGTTGTAATGCCAACATTTCCAGAGGCAGAGGCCGGAGGATTGCTCCAAGCTAGAGGCCAACTTGTCTCCATGGTTGAGTTTTAGGCCAGCCAAGACCTAGTCTCAAAAAACAAAATAGAACAAAAACCCTGTCATAGCTCAGCAAGGTGGCACATCTGTAAACCTAGCACTCAGGATCACAGGAGTCAGGAAAATTAAGAAATTCAAGGCTGCAGGTTGGTGGTGGCACATGCCTTTAATCCCAGCAATCAAGTGGCACTCTGAGTTTGAGGCCAGCCTGTCCTACAAAATTGAGTTCCAGTACAGTCCAGGATTATCACACAGAGAAACCCTGTCTCAAGACAAAACAAAAATACCAAGGTTATGGGGATGGAAAGATGGCTTAGTGGTTAGGGCATACTGGTCTTCCAGAGGACTTGAGTTCAGTTAGTTTCTAGCAAACTTTAGCTTCTAACTCCAGCTCCAAGGGCATCCAATGCCTGACTTCAGTGGGTTAATTGCATTCACATGGAGGTACACATGCACACATGATTTATTTATATACATACATATACATAATTAAAATAAATTTTTAAGAGTTCAGGATTAGCCTGTGCCTACAGGACAAGACCTTGTTTCACAACAAGCAAGCCAGATAGCAAACAAACCCTGTTTGGTCTACATTCCCCCAAATATCCTAGTAAATTGAGCAGATGGAAGGAATTTTCCCTCAACTAGGCACATGAAACTTCCATTCCCTTCTTTTCTTGGTTCTACCAGGACAGACACCCTAGATTCAGAACCAAATTAAACCTGAAAAATGTTAGGTGGGCACAGCCTCACAAATCTTTAATCCCAACACTTGGGAGGCACAGACAGGTGAATCTCTTTGAGTTCAAGGCCAGCCTTGTCTACAGACTAAGTTCCAGGACAGTCAGGGATACCTGAGGAGACCCTGCCTCAAAACTAAAGTAATTTAAAATGTTACAGAAGTCCAAAACAGGGCCAGGGGACTGGAATTTGACGTCCTTATTTATGGTTCAAAGAGCGACACATTGCAAAAGCCACTTACTAAAGTGTTAATGGGGGTTGTCTCTCTTCATTTTGGATCACTTATTTGCCTTCATTTGTTTTCTGTTGTTTTAGAAAGTCAGCCAAACCTCTGGGCACATATAGTGCTAAGTTCACAAGATAGTGAAAAAAGAGGTATAAACTGGGCAAAGGGTGATTTCCAAATTGCCAATTCTGGAACGTGATACAGGCAAAGGGAACGGGTGGATGCCCAGCCTCCCATTGCCCTCAATGAATCTTGTCTCCTCCCACCAGCCTGAACTAAAGCTATGGTGAGATGACCATTTCAGAGGGAAACATGGGAAAGGTTGTGGGATCCAGCAAGAGGGCATGGCTACCCCAGACAAAACTTCTGAACTCAGGTCTATAATTCCAGATGGACCAAGGACTTCATTAAAGCCTCCCTCAATCTAGTTGTCCGCCCAGATTTTAGCAATCTAAACAGTTCACCTGCTCAATGTAGCCCGGGGAGGGTTTTCCTGGAGCCAAAGGGACCCTCCCAAAAAACTGGAAATAGGAAATGCAATCTCTGGGTGTCAACCCTACTGCTTCTTTCAGAGAAAAGAGCCTGAGCAACTGCAGTCTTCCCTGTGACGACCCATCCACGCTGGCACTGAAGTGGGGTTAGAAGCAAAAAGTCTCCGGTGTTTGTGCTCCATTTGTGTTAAGACCTGAAGAACTCCAAACATTGTGAAATCCAGCGGTGCAATATTGGGTAGGGCCTTAGGCCAGACGGAACTTATTAAGAGATTGATAAACCCCTATTTCCCAACTGCTCTACGTCTCACCTTCCAGCTTTGTACCGGGTACAGGCCTGTCAGGAAGGCTGCAGCACTGGTCAGCTACAAAGGGGATGCCCCCTAGCTCCTGCCCTCCCCAGGTTCTCTTGCCTCTTCTCAAAAAAGGAGAATCACGCCACTGTTTGGTGACATTAAAACGAAATGCCATTGCGTCTGAGGACCCCAAGGAATCTATCTTTTGCTTGCAGCGTCACAGGGTTCCGGGGAGCCTCCCTGCGCAGTAGGAGGCCTTCTGCCCTGAGCCAGGCCTGACAATATGGATGCCCAAGCCAGCAGCTTTCCCATCTATTCTGCATGCAATCCCCTCCAGCCCAAGTCGCCTAGAACTCCATCCCTCAGCCCAGTCAAGTCATGCAACCATCTTTCTGTCTCTCTCCTTCTCTGCCCACAACCCCCAATCAGAATAATTGAGAAACCGTCTTCTTGCCCAAGAGCAGCTACTGTAAATGCTTTTTGATCGCCTGCTTGGAGAAGGAATTGGGCACAGCCGTGGCCCCAGTGATGGAGCCAAGCTCCAGCTGCCTGGGTTGGCCAAGCCCGTCCTCCCCCTTACCCCCCTCAATGCCCCCGTGGCCCTGGCGACTCCAAATTTTTCAGAACATACCGTTTCTCTCCTCTATTCTCCGTGTTGTCAAGTCTGGAACCAACAAGGAGGAAAAGTGGGCACCTTATCTTTCCTACGCATGCAACCTCTTCCTCCAGCTCCCACACGCCCGGCGTTATGTAAACGCACCTTCAGCCCCCACCACAGTCTCAGTGAGAGGCCCAGGGGCTCTGGGACCTGGCAAAGATCGATGTCTGAGGATAGGGGGGCATAGGGTGGCCAAGGAGCCTCGGGCCCAGAAGAAGCTAGGGGATTAAGAGGCAAGGCAATCGTACAGCATAAAATGAGGCAGCCGAGCAAAGGTCAGACTGTCTGGAACCTCCTCGCCAAGGAGATGGAGCAGAAAAGCTCAGTCCTTGGCCGGCCCCACGTTGACCATCCAGTGGGGAAGCATAAGGAGAGGAAATCTAGTCCGCCACCGCTCGGAATCGGGAAAAGAAATAACTACGTCGAGCATAGGCCCTTGAAGAAGGGGTGGGAAGACCCACGGCATAGCTGGCACCGTGGGCACGGAGCCCGGAGGTGGGCGAACCGCCCAAACGTAGGGAGCCCCCAAATCCCAAGCGGTCGCTCTAAAGAGCCTGTAGCAGCGGGTTCCAGGGCATAAGGAGAATAGTGGCAAAAGAAAGAGGCCAGGCCAAAGGCAAACTCCGCTGACACGAACAAGATTTCTAGAGTCGCACAGAGCGCGGAAGCCCGACTTGGCAATGCCCAGGGTCAGCAACGGCAGTGCCAGGCAGCGAGCGAACACCCTTAGCGCCGTGCCGGCCAGGCGCGTCTGGTAGCTGCGGCGTACCGCAGGGACTCGGAGGCGCAGACCGAGGGAAGGAACACCGAGGAGGCTCGAAATAGCGTACCATTGGCCCCAGCCCGAATGGAGCCGCGTCACGGCACGAAAGGGGTACTTTCGGATCTCCAAACCGGCTATGGACTTACTTTGGGGAGCTGCAGAGTCACAAGCATCGCTCCACGTCTGTGTAAATCCCCAAGCCCGAGTGGGTCAGCCGCTGTTGTACTCGCAGACGCCAGTCAGAGGAGCCGGCAAGGCTCCCTGAATCCTGCAGCGCCCGCTCCGCTGCTGTCAGCTCTGCTCGCTGCCTCGGCGGCGATGTTGCAACCCTTGCCTGGGAAAATGGCTTTTTTATGAATGGGAGGGCAGAGAGCTACACTGCGCACGCGCGCTGCCCGCGATTCTATGAATGGGTGGGCACAAGCGCCCCCGTGCGCGCATGCGCTACGGTTTTTTTTTTTTTTTTTATGAATGGGGGGCCGGAAAAGAGCTTAACCCGTGATTGCTGGGGCCGGGTGTTGCTCCTCCAGAGGCTGTCGTTCTTTTACAAAGACGGGTGGAGGTTGTTGTTCCTTTTTTTTTCCCCTTCTTTTTAATGAATGGAGGGCGGCGGCGACTGCTGCAGCTGGCTCAGCTGCGTGGGTTGTACCCTCCTCCCAGCCTGCGAGAGGAGGTAAAGGCCACCTTCACGCCACTGCGAGTTTGGGCTGGAACCATCAGTGTGACTAGAGGGTGGGGGGCGCTGCGGCCTCCGGATTCTGGCCTGAGAAGGGTGGGGGAGGCCACACCTCGAGCAGCGAATCTCTTTTCGCCGCAGGCGATGGGGAGGGGGAGCGAGAGGACCCCTACTGGGAACCTTCTCCTTTTCAAGACCAGTGGCGCCTGGGGACGTCGGGGGGCAGGGGCCTTCAATCCGCATTTGCCAAAAATTAAGAAAATGTCTTTTGTTTATTTCAAAGAAGGGCAGGGTGGGGGTTGCTGAGTGAGTCTGGCTAAGTGCAGACCACTCCTCCTCCTATTTCTTGGGTGTGGACAGTATCTGGGCCGAGACCTCTTCCGGCTCCAGTACCCCCCGGGGCGATTATGTCCACTCAGCCAGAGGTCTCAACCCCGCCTCTCTCCCGCCCCAGAGTAATGTCCGCAGTGCCCCGGGCTTCCGCCCGCCCTTTGCTGCCCTGGCTAGGTGCCCCCTTCACTACTCGCGCCCTGGTCTTATAGTCCTCAGAAGACGCTACCCTTTGTAATCTTGCGGCCCTGTGCCTTTTGTTGCAGAAGGCAGTTTTCCGAATGCTTTTCCTTGTCACTCCCCTAAAAAGAAAAGGGAGCAGTAGTGAACTGGCCAGGTGGATGGGTGGAGCAGGCCTCGGCAGGATGCTGCCAGGGTGGCCACGGTATTAAATAACAGGACTCTTGAGCCTCAGAGTGAATGGAAATGACCCGAGAGCCTTTACTTGCCGGAGGGGGTGAGGGCGGCCCAAGCCAGTGAAAAGAGAAGCCCCTCCATTAGGCCTGACTCCTCAGGTCGGGTGCTCCAGCATCAGGCCCAGCTCCGCCCAGCAACCGGGGAGCCTGGAGTAGGGGTGGTTTTGATGCAATAAGAGCCAACTGTCAGTCTGGATCCCCAGCAAGGTGTATCTTGCTGGTGTTTGGCCTTCATGGGTTGTGAGGCTGGTTTTTTTTTTTTTTTTTTTTTTTTTTTTCCTTCCTACGCCATCATGGGGCTGCGCTTGGCTGTTGTCGGAGGAACCAATTGAAAGACTCATCCTACGGGTGAGGTCTGGCCTGGGGCTTGTACTCCATCACAAGCTGTTCAGACCAGAACTCAAGGTCACTGTGTCCTAACGTAAAATGCCTTCTCACAACTCGGACTCACATCTCCGTGATTACTTACTTACTCAGTTCCTGGGGCTAGAACAGACTCCCACGGAGCTTCAGCTTCCTTTCTGGGACAAAAACTCCACCCAAAGCCAAGGAGAGAGAACTCAAGGTTTTCCCTGTGTATTTATCACTATGCCCTCCCATTTGTCAGATCTGCAAATTGAAGCCAAAGCTCTTTCATCTGGTGAACAGAAGGGCTAGTAAATTGGGCTAAATTTCAAGGTTTGCAGCCCAATTCTCTCTATCTTGAGACCAATCCCCTCTGCACCATCGATTCTAAAAACGTGGTCATTTAAGCAGTTAAACAATGACACTTTTTCCAGCTGGTGTTCATTCATGGTCTTTGCTCAGTTACAAGGATGGGAATAAATGACTACATTTTTTTTTTTTTTTAAACTGTGGAGGATGTTAGGGGAAGGGACATAGTCCTGTTTCCTTCATTGAAAGAATTAGCCAAAAGACAGAATTCCACTCGGCGACCCGGTCTTGGGGAAGGAGAATGCCCAGCCCAAGGTGGGGTGTGGGAGAAGCTCCAGTGTCGTCGTCGTTCCCCACCCCAGTTTCTGTTCGATCGCAACCGAAGTTTTGAGGAGGAATTCAGTGCTCTGTTTGCGGTGATTGGAGCTCATGGGGGACAGATGTCCCTCCTTGCCGTTGTGAAGCTCACTCAGTCTTTTAGGAGACAGACAAAATGAGTGCAGTCTGAGGCAAGTGCTCAGAGAGAGAAGTCAGCCCCTCTCGGACATCATGAAAATGAGGCATGCAAAGGGGAGATATGTTTGAATGTACATTATGTGGAGGCGGCATGTCCATGTGGAGAACAGAAGTCCTGTTGAGTTTCCTCTTCCAACTCCTTAGAAGAATTTATTTTTTTTTTTTAATGTGTGTGACTGCTTTGCCTGCATAAGTGTATGTAAACTATGTGCATGCATGCTTTTGGAGGTCAGAATGTGGTTTTGGGAGTGGAGTGACAGATGGTTGTCAGTTCCCATGTGGATGATATGAATGGAACCTGGTTCCTCTACAAAAGCAGCAGGTGCTCTTAACTGAGCCATCTCTCCAGCCTCTCACTTTGGTTTTTGAAAGGGGATTTCTCTCTGAAATCAACCTGGAGCTCACTGCATAGCTAGACTGGGTGAGTAGCAAGTCCCAAGGATCCTCCTGTTTCTGCCTCCCCAGATTACAGACTTTTTTTTTTTTTTTTTTTTTTTAATGTGGATTCTGGAGATCCAGACTTAGCTCTTCTTGCTTGCAGAGTGCCTTAGTTAGGGTTCCTGTTGCTGTGATGAGACACCATGACAAAAGTAGCTTGGGGAGGAAAGGGTTTATTTAAAGACTTAAAGTCCTGAGTCACAGTCCCCTGAAGGAAGCCAAGGCAGGAACTCAAACAGGTCAGGAACCTAGAGGCAGGAGCTGATGCAGAGGCAATGGAGGATGCTGCTTCCTGGTTTGCTTGTCATGGCTTGCTCAGCCTGCTTCCTTATAGAACCCAGGACCACCAGCCCAGGCCTGGAGCCATCCACAACGAGCTGGGCCCTACCCTATCAATCATTTCAATCTTTTTTTTTTTTTTTTTTTTTTTTTTTTTTTAGTTAAGAAAAAATTAGCTATGTGTCCGCAGGCCTTACCTTTCAGAGGCCTTTTCTCAATTGAGACTCCTGCCTTTCAAATGACTCTAGCCTGTGTCGAGTTGACATAAAACAAGTCAGCACACAAAGCAAGTATTTTACAAGATGAGCCATCTTCCTTAGCCCTATGGGTGGCAGATTTCAATTTGGGTATCAGGAAATGTCTCAGAAAGGAGCCCGTGCTTTTGAATTACAACTGAAGGATGAACAGTGAGTCCAAGGAAGGGTAGAATATGTGTTAAGCAGAGGCATCATGGGTGGAGGTTCCACCACACAAGGCAAAAGCCTCGCACATGGGCAACTTGATGAGCAAGGATGAGTGATGTTAAGCAGGTGTAACACCCTGATTTAACTTAACTGCAGGCCTGGGGCTGAGGTTTGGGGGAGCAAGGAGACAGAATGGAAGGGGAATCAAAACATTTGTTTTTTTAAGAAGGTAGAAGACCTCACATTTACAATTGGGCAGCTGGTAGGCTATGCTTGTGCCTGAGTTTTGTCCTGAGTCAACTGATTGCTCATTCCAAAATGCTCAGTGGTTTCCCCTGGGATAACGTTGTTTTTATTGAGTTTTTTGTTTATTTGTTTGTTTTGCTAGCATCAGATTGTAACAACCATTTGGCCTGCCTATGCTGATGACAGTCTCTCCACCCAGGGCTGGTACAAATACAGTTAGTTCATCACCTCCGGATGGTAGACAGGACCCTGGAATGGCTTCAGTTCTGAATTTTGCTCTTTTGTCAAGAATCCAGGAAGAGATATATATGAAGAGGGAAGAGAGGCAACAGCTGCAATTCAGTGTCAGACATTTATGGAATAATTACTGTTTGCTGCTCCAATGCTCACCCTGTTTTCACTCTTATACTTTTTCATTCTTTTTCTTTCTTTCTTTCTTTCTTTTCCCCATTGGCGTTTGCTTTTGTTTTTGTGAGTCTTTTATTGTGTAGCCCAGGTTAGTCTCCCAACTCTGAATCTTTCTGCCTCAACTCATTGACATGTACCACCATGCTCAACTTTATTTATTTGTTTGTTTTTTCAAGACATTGTTTCTCTGTGTAACAGCACTGACTGTTCTGGAACTTACTTTGTAGACCAGACTGGCCTCTAACTCAGAAATCCACCAACCTCTGTCTTCCCTAGTGCTGGAATGAAAGGCATGTGCCACTGCTGCCTGGTTTCAGCTATATTTCTTTAAAACGTGTGTGCGTGTGCGTGTGCGTGTGTGTGTGTGTGTGTGTGTGTGTGTGTGTGTGTGTGTGTGTGTGTGTGGTGCTGAGGAGATCGAACCCTGAACTTGCATATAATCAGTGAGATCTCTACCACAGATCTACATCCCCAGACCCTGAAATGTTTCTTTGGAAAACTGTATCCTGGCCAAGGTTACTGATATGGTATTGTAATCCCAACTAGGAAGGAGGCTAAAAGTGGAAAGACTGCAAATCCAAATCCTGATTGAGCTATGGGGTGATTTCAAGGCCAGCTTGGGCAACTTAGAGAATGCTGTCTTCAGATAAAAATTGAGGCATAGCTGGGATACAGTTTAGTTGTAGAGCATGCAGCCCTAGGTTCACCCCCAAGTGCAGAAAAGAAGGGAGGGGGCTGCCATTGTGACACATCCCTTTAGTCCTGGCACTCTTAGCCCTGGATATGCTGAGGCAAGAGAATGACTGTGATTTTGAGGCAGTCTGGGTATGTACATGGGAGCCTATCTCAAAAAGAAGAAAGAGCTAAGAAGCCCGAGGAATCATGTATGTATGAATTCCATTAAAATTACAATATTTAGATCAAGCATACTACCAGGTGCTAAAGTGGCAGGCTAGAAGGGTCAGACACTATTCTGCCCTTAC